ATAAAAAACTTTCGCAGCACTGCTCAGGGCGATGACTTAAAAATTGTTCGGTATAGGCTCAAATAAAAAAGTTAAAAACATGAGATATTTATTTTTTATTCTCATACCAAGCAATAGCAAAATTTCAAAAAAAGCATTCTGCTAGATTTCCCCTTATATCATCTAAAAAAAAATTCAAGTAGTTTAGTCCACCTCCAGAAAAGTTATTACGTTTTAAAAGGTGTTCATATATTAACAGTAGATTTATGAAACCTATCAAAATGACGGGTAAATGTACGATTACTCATATCGTAAAGATAGATTTATGAGTTATTTATTTAATTTATAACTTACTTGCGGCAAATATTACAACACTTGTTAAAAATCAGAATAACTGTCTTATTGTTACTATAAATCAACTATTTTTTGTGCTCCGTAAATCTAGTGTTAACAATCGGTAACTCCTCTTCCAAAATTGTTCATTTCTGTTTCCAAACTGAGCGTTAATTAGGGAGAATTTACTGTATCTCGGAAGCTAAAACCGAGCGACGGTGACATGTACAGTAGCTCACGAAAGTATTCGAACGCCTTTTAAAACGCAATAACTTTTTTAAAGCTTAACTGAGGGACTTGAATTTTTTCAGATGATAACGAGACTAGTCTACCAGACGATGACCAAAATGCTTTACATGAACTACTGTATGTACAAGAAAAAGACGATCATAATGTAATCCTGCGCAAGATATTTCAAAGTCATCGAAATCGGTGAGGACCCTCTTGATGCAAATGATTAGTAAAAAATTTGTGTAGAGTTGTCAGAGAGGTTTCAATTTACAATATATTGAAGAAGACCTATGTTTCCCGTTATGTAATCTGCTAGATCACGTGAAAGCAAGATGTGGAAAAATGAACAGTGAATTGAAAAATTGACAAATTTGCAGCTTAAAAATAGGACCAGGTTAATGGCTGTACGATTTGTTGTCACAAAATTATAATATTTCAGAAAACGGTAATTAGTCAAAAATCGGTAATTTAGTGTACCAAGATTTTCTCTTCAGCCACGGTCTGAAGCAATTAAAATGAAAATGATTGAAATATGGAAAATGAATGATTTTCTCTGCAAGTTTTTTTCACTGAAAAAACTATATATGTGATGAAACCGACTGCATACACTAACGACTCCACAGAGTTGTTAATGATTCGACTCTGTAAAGTGCCGCGAAATCAGACGAAATTCCTTAGTTTATAATACGGTACTTGAAAGAGACTAATTTATGACATTCTCTTGAGCGCGCCGCCTCCTTTCTTCGTACGAACCCCTGATGACGCAAGCCAGATGGTCGTTCCGAACGCTTGGAGTTTGGAATTCGGGACATAACGTCGTATAGTTTTTACTGTCGAGGTTATCATGCTTGAACAATGAGAATGATATAAACGGAGCATGGCCAAGAAATGTTGAAAAGATTATTCCGAAAGGTAAATAGACGGAAAAGACTGCATTTTTCGATTTTACACATTAAAAAAATTAACCCAGGACTATCGACGTGAAAGTCTAATGCTAGGAGTATAGTAAATTCTCTCCAATTTTCCTTCAGCTTGTATGCAATAATGGACAATTTGGGAAGAGGAGATGCGATTATTCGAGCCTCGCGGCTTGTTTTTATAGTTGCTGATTATCAACAATTATAAAAACGAGCCGCGAGACTCGAATGATTGCATCTCCTCTCCCCAAATCGATCATTTTTGTTTACAAGTTGAGGGAAAATTGGAGAGAATTTATTGTGCTTGCGCAAAAATCTAGTACTGGGAATACCCACGTGGGAATCTAGTACTTAGGGTACTCGCCTCAGCGTCTAGTGTCGGGAGTGGCCATGCGGAGATCTAGTAAACCCCTACCGTTGACAAATTTTCATTTTTTTCTATCTGAAAATAGTATTGGGTTGGCAACTAAGTAATTGCCGATTTCAGTTATAGATGTCTCTCACTCCCATTTTTATGATATCCGTAAATGTTATATTACAAAATTATTATTATCATTGTTATTATGTTATTTTTTATTATCCGTGAATGTTAGCAACTGGACAAATTGAATACAGCGGTCAAGGAAAAGCGACCAGAATTGGTCAATCGTAAAGGTGTCATTTCCCACCAGGACAGTGCTAGGCCGCACACGTCTTTGTCCACTCGGCAAAAATTGATGGATATTGTTTGGGAATTGATGTTACACCCACCATATAGCCCTGATCTCGCGCCATCGGATTACCACTTATTTCGATCCCTGGACAACTCCCTTCGTGGTAAAACTTTTAATGATGATGACGCTGTAAAATCTCACTTAACTCGGTTTTTGGCCGAAAAGAATCAGACTTTCTACGAGCATGGAATTTTCAAGTCGTCAAAAAGATGGCAAAAGGTCATCGAACAAAATGGAAAATACATTACAGATTAAACTTCATTCCAAGTAAAAAAAAATTTTTTATTTCATTGAACAAATCGGCAATTACTTAGTTGCCAACCCAATACTTTCTTTATTAGAAGTCCATGAGCACTCCATGTAGGCAGTCCTTGGTTAATAACTCTCCCGAATACAACGTGTTAATAGAAACCCAATAATAAAGTAGAGAAAAATACAAAAAAGTTGAATATTGCAGAAACTTAATTTCAACTGTATGTGTTAGCTGTAAAAATGATCGGTGATAGACCAACGCTGTAACGTCGCACATTGGTACGGATCCACGAAAACACGAACTAAAGACAAATCAACCTTTTTGGAAATGTATGAACCTTTAGATACAGGTTCTTATTTCCATGAATTAATATTTTTCATGTTGCTAGTTGCCAAAAATCTAACGACTATTAGTAGTTGTTCTTTACCTAATTCAACTTTTGTTTAGGTTTCATCCAATTACATCCACTTTCTGTACGATTGAAGAACATACTTTTAACTAGAAATCCTAGGAACGATAAAGGGTCAAGCATAATTTAACTCCTTAAAATTGTCTTCCTTTTAAACCCTTATTTTTTCGATTTCGTTTCTGCTTTGATTTGAGCTACAAGGTGGAATTCGCGCTGCGTCACGATGAATCTTTCAGAAAAGTGCTTGGTAGATCCTACAGAAGATGTCCGAGAAAGAATTTTTTACATCGGTTTGCATCTGCAGCAGTTAGAACGATTTATTTGTAGCCGATGCGTGAAAGACCGCTGCGTCAAACCAAACATCTCCGCGTCAGATCACTCTCCGCATTGATTTATTTAGCCCAATATTTCACGAGATTATCGAATAGTTATCAAATAGTTGTTTAGTATAGAGGGGGACGTTAGTTGATATTAACGATATTCCTACAGGTGTGGCGGTGGCGGAGATATTGAAGTCAAATTAATATTTTTAAATGGGACCCTGTATTTTTTTTATTCATAATATAACAACGCTTGTTGAGACGAATACAATGATCTACAATATGATATCATTTCATGTAGTGAAATGACGTAAATGAAATGCATACGTTTCAGTTCATTCTAACAATTCATTATTCGATAGAACTGTAACCTAAATATCTATTTTTATATAGATACTATAAAATATGCGAAAAAAACGGGTAAAAATTTGAATAATCAATTAATTAAACAAATGTTAATAATTTATAAATCTAATTTTTCATCGTATTAAAAAAAGATAATACCATAATCTATGACCCAAAAAGATTCTAAAATTGTTTTGCACGTAACAAAAGATGTAAACATAACGATACTATTCATTTAGTTCATGTTTTCGGAGATCCGTCCCACTCAACGTTGTCTCGTTTCGATAAAATATTCTTTCCGTTTGATCGGAGCCAGACCGTGATTGGCATGGAACGGGAATGACGCGTCTGATGTGAACACTGTGATATAAATCATTGAAAGAATAGATTAGTGCAGCCGGTTACTGTGGGGTGATTGAATGCTGCGCCTTTGCTTTGTTTTCCTACATAATTAATTTCATATTTATTAAATAAGGCATATTAAACATTTTTATTATTATTCATTAAGGCATATTTTTATTAAAAAAATAAATAAAACAAAATAATAAAATAATTGTAATCTACCTCACTGTCCTATTTGACTGGATCAGACCGGGCCGGGAACGGCGGTCTAATAATGCGTTTTAGCCTATATGGATTGGATGCCGGTCATTGTTTTATTATTCATTAAGGCATATTTTTATTTAAAAAAAATAAATAAAACAAAATACTAAAAGAATTATAATCTACCTCACTGTCCTAATTTGACTGGATCAGACCGGGCCGGGAACGGCGGTCTAATAATGCGTTTTAGCCTATATGGATTGGATGCCGGTCATTGTTTTATTATTCATTAAGGCATATTTTTATTTAAAAAAAATAAATAAAACAAAATACTAAAAGAATTATAATCTACCTCACTGTCCTAATTTGACTGGATCAGACCGGGCCGGGAACGGCGGTCTAATAATGCGTTTTAGCCCATATGGATTGGATGCCGGTCGAGTTAAAGTTGTAAAACAAGATGGGGTCGCTGTATGATGCTTATGGTCGAAAGTGAAAAAAAAGAAGAGGGGCAGGGAAAGTGAATGGGGCCGGCAGCGTGAAAGGAAAAAGTTTTATTAACGGCATTGCGGCATCGGGGGAAAGGTAATCGCGCGATCGACGTAATACTTACGCGCGATGTCGGGGTCGGCGTCGGCGTCGGCGTTGGCGTCGGCTTCGGCGGTGTCAGCGACGATGTCGGCGGTGGCGGCCTTCTTTTGTGATCACGTCCGGGCCAGCCGGGTTTCATAAAACAGAAGTAGCGGCGTAAAGCTCCACGATCGGGCATTATATTTCCACCGATTAATTATCTTGTAGCAACACCGTGGAAACCCTGTCCATCGATCTTCGTGCACGTTCGGCAGCGTTCGCCGGCGATCGGTCGGCGTCGCGCGTAACTTCGCGAGCGCCGAAAGGGCGGTGGGGCTCGCGAAGTTTCGGCCGTGGCGCTTTCGTTCATTCGTCGTTCTGCGCTCGGTGCGCACGCACGCCGGGAGTTCTCGCGTGCGGTCACACGCCGCTTCGCCTAGTCTCGTCGCTGTTACGTGCAGGTCGCGTCGCGGGTTCAACCGACGCTCGATTAATCGCCGTCGAAAAGCCAATAATTCCGGTTAAATCGATTTCCCGTCGCCGGAAGTCGTCGTGTACGTTGTGTGACCGTTTCTCGTTGTGCGTCCCTGTGCCGTTCGAGGGCAAAACAATACGAACGTGAAGTGTCAGTTTGAAATTCCGCGACAGTTGCCGACGACGTGCCGCACTCGTCCTCCGTGACAGGCCCGTCGCTCCGTTCCGGGATCCGCGGCGATCGACGAACGTCTCCATCGACCGGCCCAGTGATGTCGATCGAGATTTAACGCGCCGATGTGCACGGACCAAAGGAAGAGTTCGAACGTGAAAGTAAACGGTCGCGACGCGTAGTTTTTCGGATGTGGTGCTGCCTCCTCGCCTCGAGGTACCGATCCCATCGGGACCCGGTCGTGCCACGCCACTCGATCTACGAGCGGTCAACGTACTTTGGAGATCACGTGTCGAGTGCGAAATACATGCATACGGGATCGTCCAACTTAAGGTTTCAATGTGAGCCTCTGTGCCGCGGAGTGGTTTCGAGGGGCCACTCGCGAGAGAAAAGAATCGTGGCAATTAAAGTTGATAACGCTGCGCGTAACAAGACCGGCGAGCGGTTTCCAGTGATGCAGCTCGACGCATCCCGCGACGCGTAGACCGTGCCATTCGTGCCACGGCGCGGTGCCACGGACCCGCCTGCAAATACGACGCGTGCAAATTCGTTCCAATTAATTTCTGCCTGTACTTTTTACAATGAGTCGCCGGATTATACTCTGAAATTCGCGCGCGCGGTCTACCCTATTAAATTTCGTTTCACAATTTGCGGTTTTATTTCGAGCGTGACTCCTCGCTAACGAGAAGCGATCCCCAATTGATTCGGAACGTCTTCTTTTTGCCTCTCTCTCTTTCTTTCTCTCTCTCTCTTCGCGTTTTAATTAAAGGACTTCCTTGCGATTCGGGCCGACTGCGTTTTAACCTCGCCGTGAAATCGTTGCCGATAAATCAGCACCGATAAGCGGCTCCAACATATTTTTCCGCAGAATCTCTACGTTCCCGATGCCGCGAACGTGTCCGACCTGTCCGACCGCGAACTTTTTTTCAATTTCAACGAATTCGCTCGCCCCGAATTCATCTCGCCGCGTTCCCAGAGAATTGTCTTTCACGTGCGCGGCTTGTCGACTCCGAGTTCCGTTCTCGCGGAACCGCGGCCGGGCGGCGTGCGGAAATTCCCGGTGATAATGCGATGCGGATGAATATTCATACGATCGAACGAAATATTTTAGACATTCAGTTTTTCGTCGCGGTACCGCGCGGCCTTTGAATTCCACCGGGAAGGAAACCTCTTAATTTCCGCGGAAAAGTACACAGACCGGCGGCCGCGAGGAATTATTCTTTCTCACGAGAGGAAACGATTCTATTCTATTTGCGGAGGAATATAGCGTGTCGGCGAGCAAATACCCGAGCTTAGCGTTGTAGAAGCAATAAAGAAAAGTCGTCGGGGTGGATCGAGTTGCGACAGATGACGGCGAGGAGGGACGGAAAAGGCGTAGAGACGCGGCGATTTTGCGGTCACGGGTCGCGAATGGAGTCCGCGCGATTGAATCTCGCGACGCGACGCGACGCGACGGCCCAATAATTTGCAATTAAACCGGCTAATCAACATTGTCCCGCGACGTGCTGGCGATCCACGCCAGCGTGAAAGAGATAACGCTATCCGATAAAACCCTTCCCGATCGCATTCCCCACCCCTATTCGACGCCAACCGGCGATTTAATCGAACGGTGATTTTTCCGTTTCTAATCGAACGGTCCCGCGCAAAGTTCAAGGCGCTCGATTAGGTTTTATTCGGCTCCTGTATGCGACGCGTCGCTCGTTCGACTTCTCGTTTTTGTAACCTGTGCGATACAATATCCGTCTATAAATCTCTCTGGCTCGCGCCGCGGGCATACAAATTTTTCCAACGGATTCGCACGCGGAACGTAATCGCCGAGCAACCGAAAAGATAATTGTTTTGCGAAAGTAAATGAGGAATGCGGAATTTCGTTTGGTTATTCGTCGGATTTCGTGACTTTGCGAACGCGAATGTTACCGTGGTACGGAACATTTTCAAAGTTGGGTTTCTCTATAAATTCCCGTGCATTAAGAGAAGTTTGTTCTACATTTCCGACTTACTTTTGCATATGGAGTCGTTTCCCATTCGGTTGTGCCGGAATTTGTAATAAAAGCTTGTTATCTCGGCGGCTTCACGAGCATTAGAAAAACCTGTACGCGGTGCTTTTATTTCACGAAATTCGTTTTCCAACGTAATTTACCGACCCGAGTTATTTTTTGAAAAATGTCGTTTTTCGAATATGTATGATGTCCAACGTAAAAATTGTGTTTCGACGGTATTGATTGAATCGCTTGCTTTTTTGGGGGACGAGAATCAAAGAGACGGATCTGTGATTACTTTGGATTGTTTCTCGAAATAGTGTTGACAATGTTCATTGCCAGTATTACGTGTTTATCAATCACGATTTCGTGCTTTTGAAAAAGATGATCAATTGTGATATAAAATCATGATACGTTAACGTACCATTTATGATATCAACGACTTTTATTTGTTAATATGTTGCTCCTATTTCGTGAAACGAGTGTGTTGTATTTAATACAATTCTATGCGAGTACAAACTGCTATTTTACAATTTAATTAAAACAGTGGGAAAGTCGTTCATTGCCTTGGTAATGATCGACAAATATTTATTTTCATAGCGATTTTTAAATTTCGTATGTTACCGTCGCAGAAGAGTGTTTAACTTTTACGTATTTCTGTATAAATGTGTCGAATTTTATTAAACTTATTTTTCATAGTCAGCGCTGTACACGCTACGCGTGCATGAATATTGGTGCAGGGAAATGAACTGAAGCAAATTGATTAGTAACTCTTTGTTAAGGGTCACAAGAACTCTAATTAATTTTATCAATGTACACTTTAATGAGAGCGCAGACTGTTCCAATAATTTGTACCGCAAGGGGCTATTAAATATTATTAAGGCTTTGAACTCGAACGGTACTTCGTACCAGAATTCACGCCACAATTTTTACCTTTGTAAATACGTCTCTGTTTAACACGAAGCTAGATCGATTTTACGAGCATACGTACGAATTGTGCTTGGCACACTTTATTAAGTGCAATCTTAATGAAATGAAATAAAGATGAAAGGGAAAGGTCATACACTTTCCCAATATCACGATATTAATTGCAATTTTATTAAAAAAAAGAAAAGAAAACGTAATTTATCTTTCTTCAAACGAAACACGAAATCGTACTCGCCATTCATATCTGATGAATGAACATGTGAACATGTGTGTGAATCTCATATTAGATTTATAAATCGCAAATTATGGTTCGAATACAATGTTGAAGACTTGTTTGACAAAAAAATATAACCGAGTATGCTTAGAATCATTTATTATTTGATTTATGAATTTAGCTGAATATATTTTTTTCAAAATACTCGTAGATAGGTTACGCGATAATTTCAATTGATTGCGAGAAACTAAATCGAGTCGAATAACAATATTTATTCTCCGAGTCCAAACAAGTCTTGACCACTTGATTCACAATTTTTTCCATTTTCTCAATTATCTCCGGCTGACTGACGTTCTTTTCAAAACGCAGTTTCGTTGCGGCGCGATCCTGCATATGAATAATCGCAGCATTTATTCGCGTTTAATGACATTCCAACGCGTCGAAACGCGCTTCTGAATAAACGTTTCCCGTGGAGCCAGTGTAACGCGGCGACGATGTGCACGGATAATGCAAACTAAATAAACATCCGTTTTAATCAAGCAGTGTGTCAGTGTTATATCGTTTAACGAAGTGTGAAGCGCGAAATTTGTGAGGGACCGAGGAAACCGTTGACGAATTCGTTCCCGGCCAACTGGATTATGACGAAGTACACTCTTGTGCCGTGGAAGATTAATGCTGAAACACTTACCTGCGAATTCCACTAATCAACGGACCGTTTCTAGTTCATGTGCTTCGGTGACCTCGGCCGATGGAATATCCAGCGTCCGAGAATCTGTAAGTATTGTTTCCAAAGAGAATTTTTACTGTTCCGCGTTCTCGTTTCGGCGTGCTACTTGCTTCATTAGAAACGAAAGTTACACGGAAATGTCTTCTCTCTTTTCATAATCACGATAAAACGAAAGTAACGTAATAATATTCTTAAATTCTTTTAATTTAAGAATTAGTTAATATAAGTTACTTAATTACTTAATTTAAATTAAGAATTTTATTTCGTTACGATTTTGTGTTCCTTGTATCTATCTTTTTCATAAATGCATACAATCCGCAGTCTAATCGTAACGTTTCGCATATCGACGGAAGGAAACATTTCTACTCTGAGTAATGAAATATTGCTTATGCGCCGCATCACTGAAGTGTTTTAATTTGTTAACTATGTGACCTTTAAATTCGAGATACTTGAAAAGAATTTTACGCTCATCGCGATCTATTGGAAATTGGAAATGAAACACTTTTAGATATTATTCTATATAACTACGAGTTCATTGTATATTTTTTAGATAAATCGAACACAATCAATGAAAATGTAGTACAGTTTGTAGCAATATGGATAGCGTGACACGATGAAGTGAAAGTACCTATCATTGGCTGAATGATGAGAGAAATGAAGACAAAATAGAAAATTGAATCGAATTGAGGTGGCAATCAATCATCTCTGGCTGCGAAGAACATTTTTTGATTACCCCTCCAGTATTATTTCCTGGAGTTGCTTTTATATACTAAATGAACCTATTGTCTTGTCATTCCTTTAAACTCGATCATATTTGTTGTTTCGCCAATACATTTTGTTTTATAGATTCTCAACTCTTTTCATTCCATACGTATAACATTCCTATTTTAAATTCGTGTATAAGTAACTCATTAAGTATGGTAAATAATAACTCATAGTAACTCATTAAACATGGTATGTGGCGACGTGTGTTCAGACATTCACCACTTGAAAATATCGCAGCAATGTAGTTGGAGAAAAGTAGAAAAGATTATTTGTAAATGATTGAAAAATTATTTGAAGAAGAACTCGAGATTTTACACACACATTATGCGGAGTGACTATTTGAAATCAATCCCTGAGGATACCTTCGAAATATGTTTTAAACGTACTTTAAGCGCGCATTTTAAAATGTCATTGCAAATCGTTATTTGCTATAAAATAGTAATAAAGCCTTCAGTTCGAAAGTTTTAAAACGAATTTTAATTAAAATTAAATATCGATGTTTCCGTGTTCATGTTGAAACGTAACTTTTGAACATTAATTTTATCTCTCACGTTATGATATATTTGCATGGTTGCGGTCGATAGAAGTACTTTATTATTATTAATACTTTAAAAACAAATTTTTTGTTAATATGAGTATAGAGTTACTTTGATGTATTAATCAAAGCAAAGTGGTCTTTTACTTACCTATCGCGACGGAAACATTTATTAAATTCAGTTGGAAATTTGCATCACGAAATTCGCTCATTATTATCAGGCGAGGAGTTAAGAAGATAAACGTTGTAATGCTGGTACCACTTCTCAGTATTACTTCTGTCAAGTTGTAATATCTATTTTCCGAAATCGTCCAACCTCCATCCAAAACATTTTCCACAGCATAATTGAAGTAATCTGTACAGAATTTTATTTTCTCTCGTTACATTTACGTCGCTCATGAAACCAGCTATTTCGTAAATTCTACATAAGCTATGAGTAGCGTTTACTACAGCATCTACTCACAATTGGCTTCTGTCAGGTTATTAATTTTGAAGATACGTGTTTCTACAGTAACAACGATATTTATTGTTCTGTATTATTTACTTACTCTATGGATTGCCATAATTAAGATTAAATTTTTCATACGTTTGACACATGATTGATGTGTTTTGATAAAGAAAGATACGACTAAAAACTTAATCTTTCAATTTCGCTGTAGACATTTCAAATTTTCTGTCCAATACGTTGTATAATTAACAACTACAGTGCATACTACAATTGTATAACACAAATCGAGTGCATTTTTCTATTGTGGATCTTGTGCGTCTATGATAAATTTTCAAACAAACTGGGCATTATATTTTTCGATACAGTTTCGTTCAATTTCGCTTCAATGAAAAGTTTCATTTCTCCAAATTATATTACACAATGTAGTTTTCAAATACCGTGCACAGTAAATAGTGACGTCACAGTGAGATAACAAAACTGTCGAGATAACAAACAGAAATTCATTCGATGTTTCAGTATTTTAGTACAACGGTTAAGAAAGGGTATTATGATAATCGGGAATAAATACCACGTCCAGTACTGCGGAAAGCATTTCCTTTTTAAACTAGTTTACCTTTAACCCCAATGTCAATAACCGAGCACCCGAGTGCCCACTTGCAACTCGTGTTTAAGATTTTCTTTTTTCTTTTTATGTTCCTCTTGAAAGATCACAAAATCTCTTTGAAATCTCCGGTCTTCAGATAATTCTCCATCGTTTTATATCTACGGCGTATTATATTGAAAGTTTCGGGTATTAAAAGTTTTAGCTCATTGAACATCGTAGAAAATTTTGATTCTTAACCGGAGGGTTAGAGCAGTTGTTAAAATTTGTAATGTGTATCATGTGTTCCGGAGCCCGAGGATCTTTGATGGGTCGGGCTCGCAAAGAATGCTTTTATACTGTAGTTTCTCTTGGTTTTATTACTTTATTATTCCGTTTTCGTTCGCTGCAGTTTTTACCGTATCGTACAGAGGAGTTTGCAAATAATGCGCAATATGGCTTGAAAGTAAGACGTTTACGACTGCAAAATTTTAATGTGAAATATAACACTTATTCGAATTTGAAAGAATAAAGAAAATACATTGATTAACACTAATATTCCGGCACCTGTTAAAACGCAGTAACTTTTTTTTAATAGAACCGAATAACATACCTATTTTCTTGAGTTAAAGGGACCAGTTAACTAGACAATGTTCTAAACAATTTTTTGCAATAATTGCATCGATTTACTCATCTCGGTGACAGAGAGCTACGTGAAAATTTCATAGAAATTATTTAACATTGCTGTGAGCTACAAATAATTAAAAATTGCAAAGATCAATTCAATGTATGCAGCTTGATTCTGCGTGAAACTATTTCGCTGAAATATAAAGTTGAAGATAAAATAATTGGACGGATAGGGAAAACAGTAATCAATAAAATTTGGTCGAATTTGCATTATTGTTACAAATCTAACTTCTATTTATTCTGTATCCTTATAATATGTAGATTATTTAATGAGAAATTGAAACTAATATTTACCATTTTATGGGCGCAATTCACATTTAACAAATATAGTAACAAATATGCTGATAATAGAAATAAGATAAAGTAGTCGTTAAAATACGATTAAAACAATGTCAAATTAGAAGAAGCTTAGGTGCTAACTATTTAACAACGTGAAGCTTTGGCACTAACTATTTAAGCATCAAACAATATTTGCATCAATAGTATTATCATTCTATATTTTTTTATTTACCTTTTCTACACCTAAAGACGGAACCTACATTTATTACCTTCTTAATCCCTTGCATTATAATAACGTGTCAGATGGACATTTTATACATGATTTATTAAATATGAATGTTAGTCATTTATCTTTTAAATCAAAATAAAATTTGATTCATTTCTCAAATGATTATGAATGAAGAAGTGTTAATCAACGTAGCTGAGAAAGTATTCATAGTGCAAGTGGTTATATTATATTCTAAATTCTTAAATATTGTTTTCATTATTAATATACTAGTGAATTTGTGGTTTAAACACAAATGAATCCATATGGAAAGATGAATTGAAAATTCATAACATCTTTTCAAATGAGTTTCACGTCTGCAAATGTCAGTATTGGAAATCTCGTAGCACATATATAATGATGCTCGTGATAAGTGGAAACGGTAGATAATGGACAGACACATTAGCGAAACTGCTTTGCATGTATAGTCGAGATTCAAACTCGATTTTTTCGTACACAAAGCGCTCTACGAAAAATTTCTGTTCCACATTTTCGACTTATTTTTTCATGTAAATTCACCCTGTTTCGGGCATGTACCATCAATTTCGCCGGCACTCCCGTTCCGACGACATCCCTATGCATGGAGCTTTTTACGTTTCGCGGGAATGGTCGCCGCGACATTTCGATTCGAGAGATTTCGCTAAAATCCGCTACTTGCCGCGCTAATTGTCGCGTCGCCAAATAGAGAACCGCATGTCAAATGTCGCGGTGTCGGGAATTTCATTTCGCCGAATAAGATTTTATTCGAATGAGAATTCAATCGTGCAGAAATTCGTATGGGAAATAACTGATTGGAATAAAAATGATAGAATATCAAGTGTTTCTTCATAGTTTATCGATTTATTTCTTACGTATTACTTTTCCGAATTATTCGGACACTGAATTATTCGAATAAAGAAGTATTCGAACACTGAATTATTCGAGTAAAGAATTATTCAGAAAAGGAATTATTCGAATAAAGAATTATTCGAAAAAAGAATTATTCGAATAATGAATCATTCGAATAAGGAATTATTCGAATAATGCATCATTCGAATGAAGAATCACTTGAATAATGAATCATATTCGAATGAAGAATTATTCGAATAAAGACTCATTCGAATAAGGAATTATTCGAATAATGAATCATTCGAATAAGGAATTATTCGAATAATGAATTATTCGAAACAAGAATTATTCGAATAAAAAATCGTTCGAATAAAGAATCATTCGACTAATGAATCATTCGAATAATGAATCATTCGAATAAAGAATCATTCGAATAAAGAATTACTCGAATAAATACACAGAACAATTTACGACGAACAACGAACGATTCGAATGAAATATTCGAAACAATCCGAATAACGCCCAACTTTGATTCCGCCCGAGGAACGTTCTGTTCCGCTTGAGACCGAACAGTAACTTTTCCACAGAGAACGTGCAGGTGTCAAGGAAGGAAACGCGTACAGTTTCGCGTGTGCGACAGTCGCGGCCACGCGTTGTTAA